TATCATAGGTTTGGAGATTGAAAATCGATCAGTGTATCCTGAAATCGGATACCCATGGTTAGGATTCGGATACGTTACTTGTTATAAAATTTAGATTCCTCTAATCAAATCATGCGCGCTCATTTTCTTGTAAATCAGATTAGTTTTCACACGTCTGTGAGGACCTGACTGGCGATCTGCCAGGACCTTGCGCGTTCAGTTTCCCAATAGTGTGATCGTAAATTAATTGATTTTATGATGTTAGTATTAAGTGAGTTATACTTTAGACATGATTTATTCTGTATTCTGTTTCGCCAAAAAAAAAAAAAAAAGCCAGAGCAGAACTTCTTAAAACTTCTGTATTTCTTGAAAAGACGACAATCGCTTAAAATAGCCTGTCATTTAAGGTCATTCAAAAAAGAGAGGATCATTCAAAAGATTTCGTTACCAAATTTGAATGCTGTAAACATTGTAATACATTTTTGTTTACTCTTTGTGACAGACAAATATGCATACAGTTTATTTATATTTGCTTTACCTTTTCCTGAAATATCATTACTTAGTGAACAATTAAGTGTGATACATCGATATGTTTTTCAGGAGATTCCATTCTGTTTCCCAAAAAGTGGATGCTGGCCTTGGAAGAGAAGGTCGTCACAGAGTCCAGTCCCCTTCAGCAGGACTTTACCTCCACCCTGGCTGCCCTCTTTGGGTCATTTTATGTTTTCAATGTGGAATACCAGGAGGACGCAGCCTCAGCCCTGGAGTTCATCCCGAGGTAAATACTCTTCACTAATTCTATGTACACTACTAATGGTAAGATTTTTTAATGTTTTTAAAAGAAGTTTCTTCTGCTTACCAAGGCTTCATTTATTTGATCCAAAATACAGCAAAAACAGTAATATTTTGAAATATTTTTTACAATTTAAAATAACTGTTGACAAAGCTGAATTTTCTGCATCATTACTCTAGTCTTCAGCGTCACATGATCCTTCAAAAATCATTGTAATATGATAATTTGCTACTCAAGAAACATTTAGTATTATTATCAATGTTAAAAACAGTTGTGTACCATTTTTTTAGGATTATTTGATGAATAGAAAGTTCAAAAGAACAGCATTTATATGAAATATAAAGCTTTTGCAACATTATAAATGTCTTTACTGTCAGGGGTGCTGTAAAGGATCCACGTGCAAAGGCAGTC